CTAGAACTAAAGACCAAATTGGAAATCAGCATCCTGAATGAAACCTCTAACTAAAATTCTGGCATTAGCTTGAAAGGGTAAACTACCCACATTTTTCCCCCACTTTGATCTGGGAGGTTTCACCTGCCTTGTACTTACAGCTGCTTGACTTTAGCGGTCAGTCTGCTCAAGGACGCGCCCTCCTCGCGGTACAGGTTTGATGTGCAGTGAAGCTGAATACAATGGCTAGTGACATCTGTCTTCTAAGTCCCATTTTTTAACTGGAGTGTACTTTGGTAACAGATTTTTAGCCCATGTTTGAGACCTAAAACTGAACTAGAGTCCAGTTTCTCCAAAGGGCTTTCTCCTTAGTCCCATTTGTGTTTTGTCACAGAGGAGCAAGAACAGTCCCACGAAACTAGCTCTTGTTTTCAAATGAATTGCCAGGAGAGAACAATACATTGAATGCAGTTGTAAGGTGACCCGAGATGGAAGTGGTGATTAAGCACCCTAGAGCACGTTAGTTTTAGGAAATGATTTAGAAGAATGAATGGAAGAGTTAAGTGGGCATCAGACAGGAAGCTGTCTGTTCAACTGAAAGGGATCAACTGGTACAGAGGGAACAATACAGGGCACAGTGCATCACCCTGAAGACTATACGTTAGTCACCTTTAAAAAATATACCAGAATCCTGAGAAGGGTTAGTTTACGTGAAATAAAAAAAAAAAATTATACTGATCTAACATTTAACAGGGAAAATCATTTTAAAACTAGAGCTTGGGGGGGGAAGCAAAAAAGGGATAGAAAGGCACTCTAGACAGTAATGAGTTGGGACAGTGGTGAAAATGCCTTTCTGGTGCTTATACATTTGATGTCAGTGTTAGGACCTAAAAACTTACTTAAAAAAAATAAGGTAGGGAAGAAGATAAAGTGTCAATGTTGCAAGTCTTGTTTTATAGGGTATAAATTAATCTTCGTCAGATCTTTAGAAAATGTTCTTTGTTCCCATTCTTGGTACAGTTTACTAGTAAAAGCCCAACACAGAGAGAAAGGAAGTATCCGTCTGCTTTTGGGCGTGATTCTCGGTAGGGATCACGTATCTGAGCAGGGAAGGGATGTGCTGAGTTTGCCAGCACATTTTTCTGCGCTGGCATTTTTCATTGTGGCTCATTACTTAGCCCACGGCTCAGTGCTGGAATCTTTCCAAAGTACTCCATCTTTGTCTTCCTCTTTTCAAAAACTAAACCTGCAAAGAGTGATGGCAGGTATTTGGGATAACATTTACAAATAGGATCACAAAAAAATAGTTGACTAATGTCTATTGTTCCCCCCATTGCTGTCAGCTCTGATTTATAAACATTCCAGTGGCATATGTGTTCAAAAGAAGAGGTCAGATTGGACTCCGGTCCTTGTTCAGAAAGAAAAGAGACAGCCAGGTTCAGATACTGCTTTTTGTACAGAACATGGTGACTTTCTTAACCTAGGCTGGCTAACTTGGGAGGTAGACACAAATATATGAATTAAGGAAACTGAGGAACAGTTCCTATCCCAAACCCCTGAATTATGAAAATCTGGCAGATGAATTTTCTTCTTAGAATAACTAAGCTCCAAAATTTTATCACTAAGTTCGGAATGAGGAGTAGTTGTGGGAATTTGACAGACAAAACCCTGGCTTAGCAGAGAGAAGTGTGATAGATTTTTCTATCTTCCATGTATGATTCCATTTCAGTATTTTCTGGGGTTGATTCCTAAAGGAACAAATGGACTCATTACTTTATGTACTGGCAGTTATTGCTTAATACAGATTAGAACATACCCTGTATTTAGAATAAACATTTTGTATATGAACATTTTAATATGAACAAAAACTAACTTTTTATTTGAAGACTTTAGTGAAAAACAGTGC